GTGGCAAGGAAAATAGTGACCCTGAATTGGTTTAAGCCAGTTCCACCTATTATTGTTCAATGGACACAAACATTAAAGTATGTTTATCAGATGGAGTGTCTGACTGCCCAACTTCAACTTCAAATGGATATTTTTTAAGGCGATGTTCACACGTGCCATTTCTATTTGACTGAGCTCTGCTTTGTTTTTTATTTATATGCTTTACCTGTCTACTGTATTTATTTACATATAATTGGGGTTTAGAGTCCAATCTAGATTTTTTGCACTTTTGGCAATAGTTCAAAAAAAAAAAAAAAAAAAAAAAAAAGTAGCGCACAGGAGGAAAAAGTTTGGAGACTCCTGCTCTAGTCCATTAATGACAATTCTCAAACAAAACCTATGTATTCTTGTTTAAAATGAAAATCTCCTCCACTGTTACTGCTCTTAAAGCTGTAATTTGTCTTAAAAATATGAAAAATAGAACTAGTCCATTTATAACTCCTGCTAGTGGCCAAAAGTAAATCCTCCTCATCAACACATTTCCAGCATCCTAATTATTCAATGTGATGACTTTATCTGTGTTCAGTGCTATTTGATTACCTTTTTTATAGTAAAAAATTAGAGCTAGAATCAAATGAAACAGGAAATGTTCTTGTAGAGGTGCAAATACAAGGAACAGTAAAATAAAAGTTTAAAAAATGCATGCACACTCAGCTAGCCGATGTCCCAAAGCTTTTTGTTTTATTTTTAAATAATGTTTTGGCATATAAAAGCTTTCATCAGATAATTTTGTTTTGTTTTGGACCACAGTACGCGTTCAGCTTTTTTGCTGAAACTTCAATTTCACCAACCGGTACATTGGGTTTATGTTTGCACTTTTTTTTTTTATCATATTGGCTATCGGCCTTAACTCTCCAGCACGTGCCAATATTTTGTTTTGGTTATTTGAACAGTTCAGTGCAAAAAGATAAGATTTGTGGAAAAAGGGGCTAAGGGTGAGTTTTGAGTCAATTTAAATAGCATAGTTTGAAAATAATAGTGAAAATAATCAAAATCTGCCCTACATTTCAGTCTAAAAATACTGGCAGACCTTGAAAAAATCCATATCTCTATTCTCTATTATTAAATTATTAGACATTAATCATAAAAATGAAATAATAATATACACTTACTTCACCCATGAGGTTAGACCAGTATCGAGTATCGATATAAAAACAATTACCACAAAAGTACACAGCAAAAACTGGAGGGTTAAAATTTTAGGATAGAATATTTCAGAGTTGTTTTTAACACCAAAAGTGTTATTTTAACTATTTGAAAGTTAAATGGGGGTTTGAGTTGGGGTTATTTGTCAGAGTTGATATGATTGAGGGTAATTCAACTTCCTCTAGTGTTAATTCAACTTCTCTTAGTGTTAATTCAACTTCTCTTAGTGTTAATTCAACTTCTCTTAGTGTTAATTCAACTTCTCTTAGTGTTAATTCAACTTCTCTTAGTGTTAATTTGGCTCCTCCCATTCACCACTTCAAACTCCTGCTAGAGAAGACCAGTTTGAACCAGTTTTGTACATAATTTCATCTTAAATTAACTAAAATAAAGTTAAAAAAAAAATAAAATAAAACACCTCTGTGTGTTGTTTAGCTAAATCAGAATAACTCTACAAAGTGTTATCTGTTTACTCTCAAAACATTAAAATAACTCTTGATTTTGGGGTTACAAGAACAAGAACTTTGGTCCAGTGTTACTTAATTAACATTTCAAAAAATGTTAAATTAACGCTAGAACAGATTGGACTCATATAAACCCTGAGAAAATGTTAAAGTTGATTCTGTGAGAGTCAAGTTTAACACTCCACTTTTTGCTGTGTACTTGTATCATTACTGATTCAGTACTAGTATACGAGTCTGAGTCCATGTTCTCTGACTCTGTTGTTTTGGACGGCCGATGGTGGCATGCCAGCGCAAGCCCTTTAAATACACGCGGTGATCATATTGTGCCCTCCACACAGAGCGGCGTGACCCGGGGCCATGCGGGCAGACGGCGGGCACGCAGCGGGCACAGTGACGTCCCTCTCACACAAATAAACAGCCACGGCGCCGCACACAAACCAGTGATTTCCGCTCTCATCTGGCACGCGCATCAGGAGCCAGCTGCGCTCACAGACCAGCCCTCCGCCATCTTTCATCCTCGCTCCTCGCCACTCCGTACAGGCTCTTGGCTTGGCTGGAGCGGAGCTGTGATGGACCTGGCTTTGGCTCCGGGCTGTGGGCCTCTGGGGATCGAGCGCAGCCTCTCATGTGCTCGAGTCCAGCTGCAGTGAGCTTTAAAATAATGACTTCCTCTGTAGAAGAAGCCAGTGTGTGCTGTCTCCTGCGCTGTCCTGCAGGAGAGGGGGCTTCTAAATCACCACTTCAGGCCCATACATCAACACGGGGCTTTGAACATGGTCCCACCGTGACACGCCGGGGCACTGACAGCTTAAGCAGATCAGGCTCATGGGGGCTACGCTGATAGGAGCTAGTTTGTCTTCTTATCAAAAGGGAATAGGTCATTTTTGGACACATTTTTGGACCAATTTTTACCGTATTTTTCGGACTATAAGGCGCACTTAAAATCCTTTAATTTTCTCAAAATAGGACAGTGCGCCTTATAATCCGGTGCGCCTTAGGTATCAATTCTGGTTGTGCTTACTGACCTCGAATAGATTTTATGTGGTACACGGTGCTAAAAAAAATCTGTCAAAATGTTTTAGTGCGACTTTGGTAAACTATGAAACCACACTGCCTCGCGGAGTAGAAAAGTTAGTAGTAAAGTAAAGGGTGTGTTCTTTCTGTCACCGAGAAAGAACACACATATTCCACTGAGTCGTGTCCTTTAGTCCAGCAGAAGCTGACCGCATCAGGGCACAAGGAGCGAGCTGTTTTTTATGCAAATGAGCCAAGTGGTTTAAGTTTTGTTTCTGTAAAAAGTAAACAAATGTGCTCAAAGCTGCATTAAACACATTATTACTCAATGTATATTTGAGTTGTCCTTTTAGGAAATAAAAAAAAAACTTAAAATTATCCACCCACATTCATATTCATAATACATATTCATCAAGACAGGGAGACAACGCCGGGCAAATTACGCCACGATCTGAAAATAGATCGTGGATGCCTGGACTAAGGATCAGTCTCAAGTGTCGTCCATTTGTTTCACTTAATTCACCTTATAATCCAGTGCACCTTATGTATGAAAATAGACGAGAGATTTCAACATTATTGATATTGTGCTTTATAATCCGGTGCACCATATAGTCTGAAATATACCTCAAGAATTCAAGGTTGAAATAGCCATGAGTCACAAACTAAGCCTGCAGACATTAATTGCCTATTATTTATTGATCGTTTCATATTTCTGACACCAAAACCAAACAATGAACTCTGTAATTTACTTTCGCGATTACCAGGATCATCGTTCCTACAGTACATGCCCAGCTTTGACATACTGACCTAAAAAATGTTCCAAGCCTTATTAAAGGTACAGTGGCTCTGTCAAAAGGGATTCCTCAATTACCATACGCATTTAAAGCATCCTAATTATTCACCAACATTAGTTTATAGGTGCTTTTCACAACTTTCAGAGACCAGAGTGAAGTTTTGCCATTACGGTAAAGCTAACAACAACTAGCATGCTAACACACACTTTCTGAACTGAAATGATTTACTCTAGCTTTTAAAATTCTCACCATTAGGGCCTTATTGAAACCAATTTTAATTCCATAATATATAAATGGTAGGGGTGTAACAGTACATGTATTGTGCCAAACCATTTCGGTATGGGACGTTCGGTTCAGTGCAGGGCTGTGCAATTCGTGCAATTTGTGTGTGTTTACATTCCGCCACTTCATGTGCAACTACATGGAAGTCTCGGCTCTTTAATATTCACAAGGGAACTTCGTCCGTGATTGGGCCATAATACCCGCAGCGCTTTATAGTGAGGGCAGCCACCTTGACAACAACTGTTTACAAGGAATTTATTTTTTTTTATAATATTTCAAACATTTGGTCACATTTTTTCCTATAGATCAGTGGATGAATGCTCTACCATCTGAGATACTAAGGCACTTTTGTATTTAACTTATTAGTATTACCAAGCAGCACTTTGCATTTATTTTATTTTTCCATTTGTATGATGTTAAAACAAATTGTTGGTTTAATAAACACACAAATAAACAACAAGCAAATGGTTTTGCATTTTGTTCCCATACTGTACTGAAAATGAACCGAACCATGACCACAAAACCGAGGCATGTACTGAACTGTGATTTTTGTCTACCGTGCCACCCCTAATAAATGGACAGAACTGACCTCCTAGTTGCCACGTTCAAAATAGGAAGTGAGCATGGGGACTTTTCTGGTTCCAGTTCCACTTGACACTGTATTGAAAAAACATCACCCCTTTCTCCGTAACTGCTGCTGTCAGTCTCCTCATTTTGGTGTTAAAATGTTCACATTAACCCAATCTAAATGATTCTGGGTTTTTTTTTTCTTCACATGATTACAATATTTTGTCTATTTTGTCCTTAATCAATTTCTATTCCTAACAGATAGAACTCTGCTCCAAATTCACCCATATAACCGCCTCATGAGCTTTATTTGACTGGAGTTGAACGCTATGGGTGACGCCACACTTTGGTTTCAAACACAGAGCACAGTAGCTTGTGGTAGCGTGTGGTAGTGTCTGGTAGCGTGTGGTAGCGTCTGGTAGCGTGTGGTAGCGTGTGGTAGCGTGTGGTAGCGTGTGGTAGCGTGTGGTAGCGTGTGGTAGCGTAGCGTGGTAGGTGTGGTAGCGTGTGGTAGCGTCTGGTAGCGTGTGGTAGCGTGTGGTAGCGTGTGGTAGCGTGTGGTAGCGTCTGGTAGCGTGTGGTAGCGTGTGGTAGCGTGTGGTAGCGTCTGGTAGCGTGTGTGGTAGCGTCTGGTAGCGTGTGGTAGCGTCTGGTAGCGTGTGGTAGCGTGTGGTAGCGTGTGGTAGTTTGTTACCGTGAGCGAAGCGGTGGACCCAGTAGTAGCCGAAGTCCACTCCCAGCAGACAGATCCACCAGGTCCAGGGGGAGTCCCACGGCAGCTCCAGGAGGCGGAAGTTTTCCCACACATACATGTAGGTCGTCATCTCGAAGCCTCTGAAAAACAGCCTGCAACACACGAGGGACAGCGCACAGTCAGGTTACTGGTTCAATTCCCACACCCTCCCATGGAGAGTGTGTTTGTAACAGAAAACACATGTATGGTTACTTGATATTTATTGTCAATAGAGATCGAAAAGTACTGTACAGACATGACCACTATAAGTTTTTTATTTAACTATTATTATCCAGTATATAACTATATATTAAGATTAGACTCTGATACCACGATGATAATAAAAAACACAACTTTGTTTAGACAATTTTTTCAACATTAAATCATAGCACTTTCTTTTTTTCATTACTATATGGTCTTATGTGTATAGTCCCTCAGTGGTCCAGGTAGGTTCCATAGTGGTCCATGGGTGTATACTAGTCTATGTGCTCTTATACTTGTTCTGATACAACTGAAGATCATTCTAAAGTTATTCAGGAAAGGTTCATTTCTGTTCTGTGAATGGGACTGTTTTCAGTATCGATACCTGCTCAAATTATTACCATATTTTTCGGATATATGTTGCACTTTTTTTCATCGTTTGGGTGGTCCTGTGACTCCGGTGTGACTTATATATTAAAATTTTCACAGTGAGAGGGCGCCCTAGGTTTGTGTGCCAGTACTACTACTATTACTCCTGTACCACTGTCACTTCACTCTACTGTGCATGTCTCCTGCAGAAAGAGCATCTGTCCTGTCTGTATCATGTCAGTCGATCGCACCATTACTTCTGTATCATTGAATTTTTAAAATTTAAACAAACGTATAAAGACGACTGAGAAGACTGAACACAAATGTCCCCAAAAAGAAAATCATATTTTGCAGATTACAAGTTGCAAGTGGCAAAATCTGCAGCTGAAAACAGTAATCGAGCAGCAGAAAGAAAGTTTGGAGTGAGTGAGAAACTTGTGACAACTGGAAGAGTGTGCCATGCAACTTTCCTGGAAGTCACTGGATGGATCGACAAATCATGGACTTCACTGACAACTGAAACCCTCCTGTCAGGATTCAGAAAGGCTGGAATAATTCTAACTGGAACTGATGCTGAGTTTGACGACAGCTACACAGAAGAGGAAGCGGTGCTCAGCTTTACCTTCAGAGGTCACGGAGTTGCACAGAAGTGACACCGAGGATGAAGAATTGAATGGATTTAGAGATTTGGAGTGAGGTGGAGAGTTTGGTAAACTTGTTCTGTTCTGTTGTTTATGTTATAGTTTATCTGAAGAACTGTTCATATGTGACGTTAACAGTCTGTTCTCTATTCCATAGTTATTACTATAACTTGCCTTTCAAGATGAAATGTCAGTTTCTGGTTTTGTTTTGTTTTTTCATCTTCATTATGCATTTTTGGCTGGTGCGACTTATAGTTTCGAGCGACTTATAGTCTGAAAAATATGGTATATAGCTTCGATACTAGTTTTAGTATTGATTATTATCTGATTTTCAATACTTTCAGAAAATGTACCTAAAGTAAATGAATCACTATATCCTTATTTGAAAGAACACGTTTGTTTTATGCAAAGAACCAATATTACACAAAATAGATTCTCGTGAGCTTTAAGGCAGTTAGAATGTTGTTATTTCCTCAAAAACCTAATTGTTATTAGTCTGTCTATATCTCCAAAATGCTCTGTTCCACCTTGTGACATCATTAAGTGGTAGTTAACAGCTACCTTTTACCTTTTGTTCAGTAGAGACTGGTAATTCCAATTGTGTGTTAAACATGAGATCAGAAAATAGTGTAATCTGGGCCCTTTAACTATGTTTTTGTCATCTGTACAGCACTTTAAGATAAAGGCCAATGATACAGACTGGTGACTTAACGCATGACATCCCCATTAACATGAAAAGCGTAAAACCAAAAGGACAGATTACAGCAGGAGCATGTGACCGCCTTCATTCATCCATCAGGTGGTTCATGGCGCTGTGTGACCTGGAGCTTGTGATAATTTGCTTCCATAAGACAACATCGGGGCCCACTAAGACTACACATTAGTTCAGTTTAGTTTAGTTTCTTCGGTCAGTTAACATAATCATACATACTACAGTGATTTAACATGGAAATTACACATCTTATGCATATCATTATAGTTTTTCTACAGACCAAAGGGGTTTAGGCTGAAGGTTTAACACTTATTTTGCCAAACCTTATTTACATACAGAACAGGACACAAGACGGCAGAACTGTTTACAGAAAATAACGCAAAAATCATCTGTTATGAGTGAGAAAAGAATACGTACTTAAATCTTTTGGGATACACACATACACAATACAGACACACAATCCAATATACGTCAAACACACACACACGCACACACACTGACCATGTACTGTACACTTTAGTATTCACACCTATTGGTATATAAATACACAGTCACTTCATATAATTGCGGGTTAGAGTTAATCTGTAAATTCCATGAGGTAAGATATGATTTATTTTATTTCTCTCTATTTTATTTTTTTATAATTCTGGTCTTATACATGTTTTTAAATGTGTAAATTGTTTTAGAGCCTTTTAATGTTTCGTCCAGACTAGGGATGGGCATGATTAGTCAATTAATCGATAATTGATCATTAAGTATTTCGACGATTTACATTTTATTTTTAATCGACAAACCGAATGTAGGTCGCTGTGCATAGTGTAGGGTGACCAAATGTCCGTTTTTCCCTGGACATGTCCATTTTCCACGTCTTGTCCTGGCCATCCAGTTTTTTTTTTTTTTTTTTCATTAAGTGATGCAAATGTTCAGGTTTTCATTACCTTACATTGGGTCATTAAACTGAGTGTCTCTCGTAGCTCTCTGTGCACTCACAAGGAGCGAACAGACACAAACAGTCGGTCAGTCTGGAACATGCCAAAGCACAAATGCGCATTTAACGATGACTTGTAAAAGAAATTCCCCCGCTTTTCGTCCCGGTCGAAACAAGTGGGAGTCCATGTGCACAGTGCACACAGCAGTACATATGTTTCAGTGTCCAGTGGCGGTGCCAGGAACCTCAAAGCACCAGGACACCGAAAAACATAAAAAAGCTTTGCCGGGTGAGAGTAGCTCAATGTCAATGACAAGGCCCCACCTCCCACCCTCCGTACGGTGTCCTGGTTTTGACAAATGCAAATATATATATTCCACTGAGTCGTGTCTTTTAGTCCGACAGAAGTTGACTGCATCAGCGCACAAGAGCTGTTTTTTTTTTTCTTCACTTTATGCAAATTAGCCACTCACTTTTAAGTTTTGTTTCTGTGAGACTTGCGCAAAGCTGCATAAAAACACATTATAATGTCAAACAGGCTGATGTGGCTCTAGAGTGATAATGGTTTATATGTTGTAAAGTAGAATTATTTGCAGATTAGTAGTAATAATAATGATGATCATTTTAATATAAAAACATTAATGATTAATCGATAGTCGATCATTAATTCTCCAGACGATCGATTAAGAAAATTTCATTGAATGTCCATCCCTAGTCCAGACTGTTCCTCTTACTGTCCTCACTCTCTGGGTTTGACCATCTCTTGGACACTTTGAGGAAACATTTTTATTACTTACTCCTCCAAATTTACTCCCCTGCAAACACTCTGAGGTCCCAGCTCCAGCTCTCGGTGCCTAAGACAAGACTTAAAACCGGGGAGGACAGGACCTTCTCTGTGGTTGGCCCTAAACTCTAGAACGCTCTGGCCTCCAAGTCCGAACAGCACCCACATTGGAGAGTTTTAAGTCTCGTCTTCAGACCCACTTTTATTCTCTGAGTTGTGTGGTCCTCTGTGTTTTTTTTTTATTATTATTTATTTTATTTATTTTTTAATGTATTTTTATTGTTTTTTTTATGATTTATTGCTATTCTATGATTTTGCTCTTATTTTATTTTACTGGTTTTATTATTTTAAGACTAGTATGATTATTTTACTAGTTTATTTTATCATTTTATTATTGTTGTTATTATTATGTATTTCTGCAGCACTTGCAAGTGATGGACCTCAAACCAAAAAGATCAACGCTATTTTCACAACAAAATAATGGACTTTGCTGAGTGTGTGTCTAAACAAGCACAACCTGTACTTGTACAAAAGGGCATGTGCAGTTAAAAGACACACGATGTAACTACTAACGTGGCTGTGATACAAAAAGTCTTTGTTTAAACCACTACATGTTAATACAAAATATTCCCACTTTCATCAACAAAACAGTGCATATGTCCTTCCTCTAAACAAGAACAACATTCATTCTGAGGTTCAGTTAGGGTGACCATATTTCCATTAGTGAAAACCCGGACACCTTACCGGGGGTGGGAGGTGGGGCTTCGACATTGAGCTACAGTCGTCCCTCGCTATATCACGGTTCACCTTTCGCGGTTTCGCCGTTTGTCGATTTTGCATGTTTTTTTTTTTTTTTTTTACACACGGGTGGGTCAGGACTAAACCAGGTCTAAACCAGGACTAATCTTGGACCTAAGAGAGAGAACGCCAAGCAGTTTGTCCACAAAGCACGATCGGGCAACTGCCACGTTTACCTCCGTGAGGTGCGGAGCTTCCATCGGTCCTTTCTCCTGCGGTCACCTCCGAGCCCGTCCCGACGCTGAGTCCTGTTTCAGTTCTGGTTTAGTCCTGGTTTACTCCTGTTTTAGTTCTAGTTCAGTCCTGGATTAGTCCTCCTCTTCAGTCCTGGAATCAGTCCTAGGTTAGTCCTGGATTAGTCCTAGTTCAGTCCGTGGCGTAGGCAGCGTAAAAGTTTGATATAATCTCTGGTTAACGGGCAGGTGCGGTGCTGTACTGGAGGTCTTCAAAAATGGACCAGTGCAGGACTCTGCGCTGTAGGCTCCATTACGGAATAAATTAATCTTCAGTTCGTTACATAAAGAAGGAGGAAAATAACACGACGACAGCAGCAATAAGTTTTAAGAAGGGTTGCACCTGCCCTGTCTGAAAAAAAGTGTATAAAGTGTGTGGTGAGGGGTTTTACAGCCTTAAAACAGATATAATAACTGTAAAATATAAAGTTGATACTTCGGGTTATTTTTAGAACGTAACCCCGCGATAAATGAGGGACCACACTTCGCAACCTGTGCACATGGCCTCCCACTTGTCTCGACCAGGATGGAAAACGGAGAATTTCTTGTACAAGTCACTGTTAAATGCGCATTTGCGTTTCGACATGTTGCAGACTGACCGACTGTTTGTGTCTCGCTCCTTCTGAGTCACAGACGCTACGAGAGACGCTCAGTTTAATGCCCCCAATGAACGGTACTGAAAACCCGGACATTTGCATCACTTAAAAAACAAACCCGGACAGGACACAAAATACGGACATGACTGCGGAAAAACGGACGTTTGGTCAGCCTAGGTTCAGTATTATGGGTGCTTTTTCTTTGCACCATTGGATTTGTTAAGTTTTTATTAATTTTCTAGTAATACGCCAAGATATTGAGCTAAGAAGGATTCAATAAGTGACTTCTCTAGCTCATTATTGCTTCTTTCAGCTATTTTTTGTTGCAGCTCATGCTTTTTAATGATACTGTATATTCAAAAATGTTTTACAGGGATTATCTTGCTTTATTTGAATTGTATCTATGGCATAAAGTAGTTTCAATATTATTGTTTATCCCAATATATTATGCTTCAAAATTTGTTATCATGAAACCTCAACTCCCACGTACTCTTTCAAAATAAACTGTGGTAGTGCTCCTTCTATCATGTTATGTAAGATAAACTTTTAGGAGTTCATCGTTATCGTAATGTGAGTTGTACTTGGATTGAGTCATCTATGTTTGAGTAGTCCAAATACTGTCTGTATTACTTAGCAGGCAGCACGTTCCACTATACATGAAGTTGTACTGTGGAATATTAAACATCAACACTGTTTGACTTGTCTTGCCACATCTGACTGTACATAAGGTCAGGTTTGATGGCCTGTTACATATTATACAGTAAAAAATGTGGAGCAAAGGGAACAGGACGTTGAAGGGCCCATATCACACAGTTTTCTGATCTACGTTCTCATGGCAAAGGAAAAATTCAATCTGTCAACTGGACAAACGTTTGAGGACAGTGAGGTACAGATCTGAGCCAGAGGAAAGAATAGGTTTGAGAGGAGTGTTAAAGAGGCCATTTTTGTTAGAAAAGACAATCCCTCCTTGAACAGAAATAGAGCCTCAGACATCATCTGTTTCCCATCTACAACTCCATCCTAAAACCTAAAACAAAGAGAACAATACGGTTATCCAGGTCAGGGCCAGAGGTGTGAAAATACACTCAGTATGGGCCTGAATGATTATGCTAATTTGACCACACACTCAGTACAGATGGATAGGTCTAGCTACAAACAGAAATTGTAAACAAGTAGAGTCTTAGGTGGTGTCCACACAGCAATGGTTTTTTGGTGGAAATGGTGAAGTTTGTATTCATTTTGGCCTTTCGTCCACACAGAGCTGGCGTCGAGGTTTTTTGAGATCGGGTTCCAGAGTGGAGAAATCTGAGAACGCCGGCGTTGCGTTGTCGTGTGGACAAGCAAACCGCAGCTTTTGGAAAACGATGAAGTCACAACCCCGTCGCAGCCCTCGAAATAACCTCGGAGGATCGCAAGACCGTTGCCAAAATGGGACAGGTGTAGCCTACGGCAACTGAGCTAATCTGCAAACGCTAATGCAAACAACAAAGATTATGCACGGATAATTAAACTGCTGGAATTTTCATCCAAATCTTATGGCTAAAAGCAAAAACTTAAGTTTAACCTTTGCAAAAGAAAACAGCTATATTTCTGGGATACATCTAAAATCGGCTAAATGTAAAGTAAAAAAAAAAAAAAAAAAAGGTGATGAGATATGCATTATTAAATATTATAATCATTGTTTACAGCACCACATACAGGTGTGGCAGATGTATTACATCGTTTTCACTCAGTGCTCCATTGTCGTCTGGATGTGAATATTTACTGATCCAACACGCGTGGACACAAATTTTTTTCAACCCGCAAAAAAAAATAATCTTGGAGCATTGTCATGTGGACATGGCCTTAGTTTCAGAGTAGTTTCAGTGTAGTTACAGTAGATCCTCCCTGCAGGCAGATATACGGCAGTGTCCACCAGCGTCTGAAGAACTGAAGAAGCAGCTTGGAGCTGCAAAACATTTTCAACCTAAATAAACGTTTGTCCAGTTGACAAATTGAGTTTCTCCTTTGCTGTGGATTCTACCTGGACGACTGAGGGATTCTACACACAACTATGTTATCATGTTGTTTCCTCATCACAAACACACCTGGAGTCGTGTTTTGTTTCATTCACACATGTTTAACTCACAAACCCTGCAGATTTAGACAGAGTTCTTCTCTCAAACACAAAACACTCTCTTCCACCTTGTGTTGTCATGTGGTAATACTTCACTGTATTTACTCCATACACCTTCCCTAGAACCTTTTTTTGATCATTTCAGCCCTGAATTTGACAAACTTTAAAGTTACAGCTATTGTTTTATTCAAGAGTATTGAATAGTATATATATCTGTTAACATTAAAACGTCCACTGAATAACATGATGAGGTAAAAGCATTTTGAGATTTGGGGTTTCAGTCTGTCCTTAATACAAAATACACTGGCTGTCCTGACTCACTGAGACTGAAACACATCACCTATCTATTTCAGGTCATTACAAACTATCAGTAATTTCTTCTAAATATCATATATTACATTTAAATGAACTAAAAATACCATTTCATGACATCACAAGGTGGAACAGACAATTTCTGAGCTTTGGAGATGTCGACTGACTAATAGTGCAGAATTAACCAAAGGTGTCAATGAAACAAAACACAACTCCAGGTCTGTTTCTGATGAGATAACCGCATTCCAACATGACTAAAAGCTCAAATGAGTCAATTTTGTGTAATATAGGATCTTTAAACATAAACATATAATATTGTTGAGAGACTTACAGAGGAATCCTGGAGACCATACCACAGGCGACAGAGGTGACCCCGTCGCTGATGGTGGGCAGAGGGGTGTCCGCCTTCAGAGCCCCCACCACCAGCTCCAGAAGCATCAGTCCTATGAAGTACGGAAAGGCCTGCACACGAGACAGTACAACGAAAGACTGGTGAGACTCAAACCGCCGGATCATGTTTGCATAGGGTGACCAGATTTTCAAAATAAATCCTGGGAAATCCTTGGTTGGTGGTGGTTAGTAATAATAAAATTGTGAAACGAGAAAAATGTTCTGCACTCAGCCCATTCAGGACTAACATGTGAGTCAGTAAAGTCACATTTTCTTTATGTTTTGGTCATTTTTAAGCAGCTTTTGTGTGTTTTACCAAAACAAATTACAATTCATGCCTCTCTTTACTGTTGGCAGGGATCAAATTGGTTAAAAATAGGGACACTTGGGACATTTCTTGTATAAAACTGGGACAAATCAATGATTTTGTATAAATCTGCTGGGACAGGGACACAGGGCTCAAAACTGGGACTGTCCCAGGGAAATAGCGACGTCTGGTCACACTATGTTTACATATTATTCATAAATATACCACTTTTTCACTCCCCATACGACAGTCAGACATGTAAAGAAAGTATTGAAATTGTTAGTCAAATTCAAAATACAAATATTTCTAAATAAATGAAAGTGTTCTGATCTGTTATCATATTTTCCTCATTAAAATCATACCTGGAGTTGTGTTTGTTTCATTCACTCTTTCAAACAAAAACTCTTTATTATTAGTCTGTCTACATCTCCAAAGCTCAAAACTCTCTGTTCCAATTTGTGATGTCATGTGGTGATACAGAAAATGCTCCAAAGTGTGTTTTTAAACTCTATACACCTTCACTAGAATCATTTGGATCATTTCAGTCATGGAATTGCCAATCTCTACTAAACTAAAAGTAACATGAAAACTTCCACTACATGACATCACAAGGTGGAACAGAGCATTTTGAGCTTTGGAGATGGAGAGAGACTAATAATAATGTTACTCAAACATGTTTTTGAGGATGTAACAACATTATAGCATGGTTTAAATCGCGCAAGAGTCAGTTTCATTTAATATAGGACCTTTAGTAAATAAAAACTGAACATAATATATTTTCTCTAAAGGGGTTGATTTACGATGGGCTGCTGGGGATCAGAGGGAGTCCTTTTAGGTTTAAACCAACTCCTCTGAAACTGGCAACCCAAATGAGAGACTCGTGTGAGGCTCCTTCTGCTTTGTGATTGAACCAACTAACATAAACAACTTAGTCATCATGTCATGTTTTTGTAATTAAGAATAAATCAGTATTAGAACTGTTGATTTGATTTGAGTATGTTTACCTCGTATCTGGGAAAACAGATAGATCATGTTTATGGAATTTAAAATCAAAAACTTACATTCAGCTCCTTAAAATGGTCCAGTGTGGCATTAATTATTAGCTCATCTTGCATTTGTACTCAATAAGAAGTGTACCCTCAAACACATATTCTGACTGTGACATCGACTGCCGTTCCTCTGATCCATAATTTAACATCTCCTTTATGGAAATCCATTTGTTTAAAGGTCCTATATATTACGCAAAATTGATTTGTGTGAGTTCTAAGCCATGTTAGAATGTAGTTACCTCCTCAAAAACAGACCTGGAGTTTCATTCATATATTTTTAAATACCATATTTTTTGGACTATAAGTCACACTTTTTTCATGGTTTGGGTGTTTCCTGTGACTTATATATTACATTTTCACACTGACAGCCTTGAGAGGCTCTAGGCTTGTATGTCAGTATCTGCTACTACTGTACCACTGTCACTTGGCTCTACTGCGCCAAGATTGTCCTGTATGTATCATGTCAATCGATTAAATCATTCTTTCTGTACCACTGAACATTTTAAATTTAAACAAACTTATGAAGACAACTGAGAAGACTGAAGACAAATGCCCCTAAAAAGAAAATCATATTTTTCAGATTACAAGTTGCAAGTAGAGAAATGTGCAGCTGAAAACAGTAATCGAGCAGCAGAAAGAAAGTTTGGAGTGAGTGAGAAACTTGTGACACCAGGAGGATGCACCATGCAACTTTCCTGGAAGTCACTGGATGGATGGACAAAGCCTGGACATCAGTGACACCAAAACCATCCTGTTGGGATTCAGAAAGGCTGGAATAATTCTAACTGGAACTGATGCTCTCTCTGTTCTATTGTTATTACTAGAACTTGACTTTCAAGATGAAATGTCAGTTCCTGGTCTCTGATTTTATCAAATAAATTTTACCAAAAAAGTGTGACTTTTAATCCAGTGTGAATTATATATATTTTTTCTTCACCATTGTGCATTTTTTGGCTGGTGTGACTTATACTCCGGAGAGACTTCTAGCCCTTTATTATTAGTCTGTCTACATCTCCAAAGCTCAAAATGCTCTGTTCCACCTTGTGATGTGATGTAGTGGTAGTTTTCAAGTTAACAGCAACATTTTACCTTTTGTTCAGTGGAGACTGGTGATTCCAGGGCAATGGAACACATCACAAGGAGGAACAGAGTGTTTTCCGTTTGAGATAAGAACTCATTAAATATGCAGGGTTTGTGTGTTAAACATGTCTGAATAGGAGATATGGGTTTTTTCATGACCAGTGCAAATACTGATTGTTTAGAATCCTGAGCAACTGATGGCTGAAAAGCTCTGTCGATATACAGGACCGATTTTGATCATTTTCTTTAAATTATGTCATTTAAATGTATTAAAAACTCACCCGTCACAGAATATTTGATTTCTGTTGTAAAAAGAACGAGCCACGAGTGTGTTCAGCTGTTATATCTGCCAAAGGTGGACACTTTCATCAATCAGAAGTGTAGAATACGTTTTGTTCAACAATAAAGGTTTTCTAAAACTTTTGACCGGTAGTGTATGCTCTATATGTATAATCGATCTACCTGTAGTGTGAATGAAACAAAACACAACTCTGGGCATGTTTTTGAAAAGTAAACACTAAGGCCAGGTATCAGTGAGTGTGTATACATGCACATCAGTGTCCTGGTTATTAGCCATATCCTGGTCAGTATTCGAGATACTGCATATACATGCACACTGAGAAACCGGGATACTCATATCCCTGTGGACATGATCAAATGGAGTATCCCGGTTTCTTGACATAATCTTACAAATGCCCAAATGCAAAAATTAACTTAAATCAATTTAATAAACCAGGAAAAATACAAACCATGAGCTCCTTTAGCAGAGGAAGCTCGGGAGGTTTAACCAGCGGTGAGGAAATATGAGATATCCCACAATCCACTGCACACATCAAACCCAACAAATTCTTCATTAAAATCTTCTGCATAAATAAACTCAACTTTACAACATATAAACCAGAACCACTGTAGAACCACATCAGCCCGTTTGATCATATAATTCAGCTCTGATCACATTTGTTTACTTTTTACAGAAACGAAACTTAAAACCGCATGGCTCATTTAGCATAAACTGTTAGCACTGATAAAAACAGCTGGCTCCTTGTGCCGCTGATGCGATCAGCTTCTTTCGGACTAAAAGACACGACTCAGTGGATTATGTGTGTTCTTTTAGTGACAGAAGAGATGCTGATGATGGTGAGTCTGTTCTGTGCGTGTGTTGTACAGGTACAGATAGTTCATGTTTTAGATTTTCAGCGATCACACGAGTGCAGGTCGTACGAGTGCATGTTGTACATGTGCAGCTTTAGTGCAGCTCTTTATTTTACACTCATTTCACTCATGTATGATCACTTTATTTATGCTGGTCACTTTATTTATGTCGCTACTGTTGCGGTGAAAAGACTGGAAATTGCTTGTTTTTGGACGCATGCACACTCAACTTTATGTTGCAGTAACCGGGATACTGAGTATACATGCCACAGTATCCCGGTTACTATCAGAATAAACCAGTGACAGTAACCTGGTTTCTAATAACAGGGATACTGAAACCAGGGTACTGCGTATACATGCACCATCAAGAAGCCGGGATACTCTAAAAACCCGATCATAACCGGGATACTGATGTGCATGTAAACGCACTCACTGAGAAATTGCCAATATGACACATACCTCAATACACAGGCCACAATGCGCTATGTTTTTCGATACAGTGCACTTTTTCAATTCAGTACAATTCAATATGATATGTTTCAAATCTATTCAATATGATTCAATAGCTAAATAATGTCTGTGATACTCAAAGTCTGTGCAAAGTTCATATTCAAAACAGTGAATATGTCAAATGTATTTCTTTCTCCAAATGAGCAACACACCAAAAAGATACTCTTGGTGATACAGCGATACAGCAGCTCAAGATATCGATACTGTATCATCAAATTAAAAGATAGATGTGTCAATATATTTACACAACAAAAGTAAACACCGTTATAAAACAGATCTGAAAACAGCCTAATATGGACCTATTCATAACGCAAACCCTGTAACATTTCCATTGTTTATTACACTTCACTTTCATTCACGAGTCTAGTCTACAATTTGACAACAACCATTGCTCATAACACTATTCTAACAACCTTTAATTAATCCCATGTCATAAATCACAGTTGGACGTGCAGACACAAACAGCAGCTCCGCACAGTGAGAGGACTCGCTATGGGGAGGACACTGTTTGCTTTGGAAGACTTTTGCGCACACGGACCTTTCATGTTTTGTGATCCATTCTGTTTGTTTCACTACGAGACTCAACTCTACGGCCTAAAACCACATTTGGTTGGCAGGCGAAGTATTGACTTTCTCTGGTGCTGGAAATCATCACGGAGCCAGTTCAGCAATATGAAATAGAATGGGTATTACCAGCGCTGGATGAAGTACTCCGTCTTCTTACTTAAACGTGCGCTGCGTAGCTTTTTGGGTGGGGGTCCGTCACCTGCCCGTCACCATTGCTCTTTTTAAAATGTTCCACTATATGACATTAAACAGATCTACCTTAAATGATCTACGTAGACTTTAAGTTAATAATGTTTAGGTCTGGAATTGGCACTAAAAACTTACAAAATGTACTTTGTGTTGATGCGAAAGTTTGTTTATAAGGGTGGTTCTCAAAATCTGTTTGTTTTTGTTTTTGGCACATATAA